TTCAGCAGGGACATGGGTGGCTGGGCCTGTAGTAGGCCACTAGGAGCACCTAGGGGGTCATCAAAGCAGGAGTACAGATCATCAGAGTATCAGGTCAGGATCTGGGTTGGAAGAGCTGAGAATGCAGGGGCAAGTTCCAGGAGGGGCGAGAGTGGAAATCTGAGAGAGAGTCTGATAAACCAGCTGAGATTAGAAGTTAGGGGTCAGAGAGCTAATGCCGAGTTCCAGGGGAGATCTGAAGTCGGGGTCAGGAAGAGTCAAAGCCAAGTCGGGAGCCAGGAGAACTGGAGAAGGCCGTGAACGTGTGGCCCTGCCAGAGCAGATTAAGGCTGTGAGAGGCATGCCTCGAGCTTGGCCCAACTAGGCCTGATTGACCAGAGGCCTGGACAGTAATCTTCAAATGATGCGCTTTGGAACCTATTTGCCTTTAATGTGTTTGTATAGGTGTCGCTGCAGTTTAATAAACAGTGATGTTAGTAATGAGCCAGATGGCACAGGCTGAGGATGGAAACAACACTTGAACCATTCCAAGACTGTCACTGATTAGAAACCAGTTCACAGTTGTCCTGGGCCAGAGTATGTACACTCCTAAGGGTTCTAAGCGGTCACCATTTAGGTCTTGCAGTGTCATCAAACCACCACTGGGGATGTTAATAAGCACCCAGCTCAATTGCAGTTTTCTGCTTCCCCTTCACAGTAATGTTGAGGACAATAAAGACCCATTCTTGCACTTCTTATTGGAACTGCGTGATGGTGCCTAGACCCCTGCTTCTGCTGCATGGCTGTGGGGTGGCATGGCAGGATTACAAAGGCACATGTTAAATAAGCACAATAAGTTCATACAACTTTCACATTTCTTTCTCTGACTTCCATGACACTTCTCCCCCTTGTCCAAAAAATTTGGAAAGGCTTGGCATTCTCGACTGGACAACTGAGGCCTGAAAGGGCATAAGTGTCAGTGCAGGGCTTAGAATTAAGAGCCCCTTGCCCCGCAGTACATTGCCCATGTTACTTCCTTACATCATTTTCTTGAGATAAAAGGATGCATTCAACTGTATCTTTAGAAAGCCTGTTTGTCCTTTTCTCTCTGGTACCTTAGTTAAGTGGATAAAATGAAGCCAGTGCCTCTAATTGTTTCTGAGACATACATGGATCAATTTTTGAGGTAAAAGCCAGAATGACAAAATTTGAGAGCCCAACTAGGGAGGTACGTACATCAGTATATAAGTCCTAAAATAAAGCAGCATAATTTTCAGAGAAGCTGAACAGTTAGTCTCATAGTGAACTGTGGAAGCTCACCTCCTCAGTAAATCGGGCCACTGTTATTTGAATATTAAACTCAAATAAGTCTGGGTGCCTGAATCATGAGACACCACTTTAGCCATCTGTCTGTGATGGTATGTTCACAGAGGCCTTGGTTATTTTTCTTTTGGGGCCTCATTATAGGATACAGTAGAAACTGTCTCCACTGCATTAGGTGAGCAATGCGGGTATTTCATGTAGACTATAACTTCTTTCATTTCTGTGCACCTTCTGCTTTGCCTAACAACTTACCTATTTCTGAGCACTGCAGGGTGAGGGAGCATAAGCTTGAAAGGAAGTGATCCAAAAGCGATGAGAAACAAATATGGACATAATTAAAGACGGCCATGATAAAGGTAGCTTTTTGCCACTTAACAGCTCCTTCCCTCATCTCCTAAGTGTTAGAAGAAAAAAGTGATATGTGAGAAATGTGCCATGGGCAACAGCAGGCAAGCCAAGTTGCTAATAAATCCTTGCAGAAGCAAATAGAATAGCAGTAGGGTTGGAGCCCTTGTATAACAGAGCAGATAGCAGCTCAGTGTCCCACTCTTGGCTCTGGCATAGAAACCTCTGGACAAGTACAAATACAAAGCACTGGTCAGATCCCCGTGTTGTTTGGAATAGCAGTATGCTTGTTGTTTTGGAGGATGTGATTTCACAGTGATTAGTGCAGTTAAGAAGTGAGCAGTTGCTTGTGCCTTACATTAGCATATTATATCTGCAGTGAACTGTTCCCATTGTTACTCTAAAGCAGCTCTACTTTTACTGACTCCACTATATTAATTAGCATTGAAACCTTACCATTACCCTGCTGCTAAATCAGGCTGTTCACTATCACTGCCAGTGGATTACGAGATACACCAGCCTTACAGGGGGAAGACCAAAGAAATATGTCACCTAAAGTTTCTAAATCTGTGGAAAGAACGAGAAGCATTATGGGTAGCCCCATACCCTGGTGAGCCAGAATTAGGACCCACTCCAGAAGAGAGGGATGGATGGGAGGTGGTAGGACTAGGCACACAGTTGACTGAACACCAGAGAATCCGAGCAGCACTTCATTTACTCTTAATGTTATAGTGGAATGAATATTGGCTTTAATTTAAATTACAGAGGAAGACTATAACAGTACCAACGTAAAATACAAACTGTCTCCTCCTTGCACCCCAAGGAGTGCAGTCATGCTTTCAGTATGCTTGCATACTCAAATTAGAAGTAGAAAAGGAAAAGTACACCTACTGAAGGTTTTCAGAATAGTACATCCAGTACCCATCAGCAGTGCCTAGTCAAATTTCTCCCTTTCCTGATAAGTATAACACACAAACTTACAGGGATGATGAGTTTTCAGGTGAGGGAACCACTTCAAGCAACATACCTTTCAGTTATTTATTCAATTAATCTCGTAAACCAGACACAAATAATCAGACACACAGAAATGTGCTATGGGTGCTGAACAACTCTAGTGATACCGTTAGTGTTCACATTTGAACCATTCCCAAGGAGTCACAGGAAAAAAAGATGCTCAGAATGTGGTAGTAGCCATTTCCAACCAGAATCTTAGTGGGCATTGAAATATACAACTAAGTAGAAATAAAGCCAGTTAAAACTTTTTAAAGACAAGGCACTTTGGAGATGCACAGGATTTATGTCATACTTGTAAAACAGGTAAGGACTCATGCCAACATTCAAGGGGTGACATTTTGTATGTAGATGGGAAGCTGGAAGAATCGCAACTGGCATCAGAAGTCATTCTGTGGTCAGACTCTGACCAGGACAATTGAGGAGCTCCAATCCAAAAATTGGGATTTATTAGAATAAGTGTCTCCAGAAAAATAAAGGTGTTGTTATGACTGGATTCTGCATTCCTACTATTCCCCTAAGGACTGAGGAAGCCTATAAAACCTGGAAGAAACTATGCAATGAGCGTGGTGCCCCCTAGTGGCAACCCCAACCCTGTCAAGCCCTTGCTTCTGCCTCCTAGGGTCTCATCCTGCTTCTTGCCCTGCTTGCTCACTTGCCATACTTTGCTGGAAGTAACGAGGGGAGGCTGCCCTCAGAAACTGGTGACCATAGGTGCTCTCTTGCATGTTCTCTCTTGCTCTTTTTCTTTCTTTCTCAGTATTTGTCGCCCACAGGCCCTCTGTGCCTTAAGGATTAAATGTGTGGCTTCCTCTTGCCTCTACACTGGTCCTTGCCTCACAGGGGTTACCGTGTTGCTATTTGATTCCTTGTTAGGAGTTTTGCAACCTTTAGCCTGTGAGCTACTCGGGCTGTTAACTGATGGCCCAGGTCCACCCTGGCCTGGCCTTTCCAGTCTCCCCTGTTTCACTAGTCTCCAGGCCCCTTGGCACAGTCCTGCCCTGTTTCAGCCTGCCTGGCATCTCTGCCTAGGGCAAGGCATCTCTTCACTCTGCCTCCATCTACAGCATTTGGGTTTCATCCCCACACTCTTACCAGATCCCCAGCCTTTGCATGTCCTTCTGCTGGGAGTCCTGTGGCCTCCAGTCCGTCCCTTGTAGCCAAATCCTGTCTTCTGGTTATAAAACAGAAATAAATGAGCACAACTAAAAGACATGCATCCTGCACTCGCAGAGCTCACCTCCCACAAACTGTATCTCTTAGGGTTAAATTTGTCTCACCTCTATAGACAGCTTCATTTCCCTGGGTACCATTTCCCTGTGGGAGCAGTTTTCCTCGCAGCCTGCAGGGCCCGATTGCCCACTCAGGCTCAGGAACAGTGCTTCTGTGCACCTTTCAATCACCTGGCTTCCCCTCTGGGCCATGTACAGCAATCTCTGATCCCTTAATAAAGATTCCATTTGCTTCCTGCTGCTCCCTCCTCCCTAAAGTGACAGGAGCCCTGGCTCCCCGGTACAGGTTTCTCCTGCCTGGACCAGTGGCTTCAACCCTAGTTCCTTTGCAAATATTTCTCACAGTTCTCTCCTGCCTGCTGTCTACCAGAGCTTCCCCCATCCTGTGGGCTGCTTGGCGCAGACTATAAGTATCATCCTCCTCCCTTGTGCCTGAGTAACAGGGTTTGGGTTTGCTTTTACATTTCCGCCTGCCTTTTCTTTCTTTGCAGGGGGAGAACGGTTGATTTACTGCTCCTTCTACTTTGTGTCCAGGAGAAAAAAAAATCTGCTTTCAGATTTTGGTTCTTGGAACGACGCTCAACATTAAAACTGAATGCTCCACCAAGCCGGCCCTGTACGCTGGTTCTGGTGTGTCGTCCCAATCCAGGCCGCACATCAGCCCTTCTCTGGACCCTGGGACCCAATGAGTTAGACACTCCTGAGATGGAGCATTTCGTTTAGTTCTCAAGTGACATGCTGAGGTTCTATTGCTTTACACAATCTTATGGCTTTCTGGCAACAGAACATTGCCAGCATCCCATTCCTCTAAGCAAGACATTTTTTAGAAAGTTGGGGGCAAGAAGGTATTTGTCTTGCTGTTGTCCAAAAACATTTTCAAGGTGTTTGAAGCTACAAGATTCCCATTATTTTCTGCAGTAATTTTTAAGAATTTGGAAAAGAGAAGTCAGAACTTGTGTTTGCACCTTTCAGAACCTTATGGCACACCTTTCATGAAAGAATCTACTATCCTCAGTGTTCTCTTCCCAGTGTTTCACAACATTTAAAAGACACTGTCATTTGTACTTTATTTAATTTAATTATTTTAGACCTGAATTACTCCTTTCATGGCAGGAAGGTGTTAAAGATTGGGAAGGAAAAGGTTTAAGGGCATTGGAGAAGATGTTTGGGATTGCTATAGAGGAAGGTGGAATTGTGAAATGGTCGAGGAAGGAGTGGTAGTTAAGTGTGCTTATATGAAACCCAGCAACCTGTAAGTAATGACATCTATTTTCACAATGAAAAACTTGTTTGTACTAGTTCTATGCCACCCCAACATGCGTGTTCCTTTTTATGCTCTGCTTGAGAGTAGGGACTGTTGTCTTCCTGTGTATTTGGAACACGGTTTTGGTATTACAGCAATGTATGTAACAATAATTAATAAAGACAGTTTGTTATGCATGGCTAGTTTCTTTCCTATATATTGGCAGTTAAGCAAATGTTGAAAATTTTGAAAAAGGTGGAAGCAAAACTTGTATGCCAGGTTTAATCTAGGTGGCTTTCTTTAAATGATATCCATACTGCATGCTTATACGAAATGAGCTCTAGTCCTAAGGAAATGTTTGGTTTTGACATGCAAAAAAGTCTTAATAAGGTAGGGGAATTTTTACAGGAGATAATCGGAGTCGAAAAACATTATTTAGAAAGTACTGTATCAAGTGAAAAATTTAATTCTGGCCATGATGGATTATAAACAAAACAATGCAGAATTTTAAAGCATTTCCAACTTGTGAAATGTTCTGTTGAGTAGTGAGCTATTTTCTGCATCTTCTCATTTCTGCTTTCCTTTCACTTTCCCATATATTTCTAAATTCTGTTTTTGAGGAGTTTGACAATGTATGATCTGTACTAAAATCATAAACTTGACATTTGACTTGCCAGGTTAATTGGGAAGTTTACTGTGAATGGATCTGTCCCAGCTCGTACAGGTTCGAGACTTTCATCTGTTCAAATAAGGGACTTAGAGTCCTTATGTTTGAAGATACTTGCTCCTAGCCTTGCTAATTGGTACCGATGTGAAATTAACATGCCTATTGTTAGCTTCGCTATTATTCAGAATACAGCTATAACATTGGCAAGCATTATATTAGTTTCATATAGCTAAGGTTTGAGAGAACTGAGACCAGCTGCACAGGCATAGGTGTTTTTTGTTTTGTTTTCTTCAGTGGGAAGGAGGTTTTTTTACGTAGGAAGAAAGGGAAGGAGAACTTTACCGTGTACTCTGGAAGAGCTAATAGGCTCTGAAAGGGAGATGGCACAGCTCCTTTTCTGTCCCGTAGATAGAGAGAGGATGGACTTCCAATATTATCAGATGGCTTGTAGTGGGATCCGGGCTAAGGGCTGTACCAGGATGGGACCCAGGTGTTGTACTCTCAACGGGTGTGTTTGCCCCGATTTGGTATCCCGCCTGCCATGAGTTAGTGTTAAATGAAAAAGGTATCAGGAGGTGGTACCTGACCGTTAGTGGGGGTTTGTTGAGAAGGGCACAGGTCGTCTTGTCTGGGCACCTTGTGTGGGGCTGCACCTGCCCTACGTCCCACCCCTTTCCACTAAAGTGTTTCCATGCTCTGCTCGAGGTAGACACCTGGACCTCTAGGCATCACCCTTCATGTAATGAAAGAGAAGGTCTGGCTTTAAAAGAAAAACAGAAGGGTCTGGGGCCAACATGGGCTGACCCAGCCCTGTGACCTTGGCAAGTGTCTACCGCCAGTGATGTCTGTGTTGCATCAGCATTACTAAAGAAATAAATAAGGGTGTCTGCTGTTTGCGGGCGGCGCGCTCCAGCCTTATAGTTTATGTACGCTTTTTTTCTGGGTGGCTGGGCTCTTCGGGGAATATTCCGCAGTCTCAAGCTTGATTCATAAAGTGGGCCTGTCCCAGACCCGCTCCTGGTAGCTGGGGCCACCGGCACGATAAAGCCCATGAAACCCTTACCATTACCTGGTCTCCAGCATCCACCAAGTGGTCTGCTTCCTGCCATTGGAGCCAGTGCCTGGCTGGTTGCGAGTAAAGTGTCTGGCTTCTGTGGAGGGAAGCAGCATGGCTTCCTACCTACACCAGCACCTCCCGTTCCTTGGGGTTGGCGCTGCCCTATGATGGAAGTTCTGGGGAGACCAGAGCTACTTCAGACCTCTGTCAGAGGTCCCCATGTACCCTGCAGCTGAGAGTGCCTGTGGGGCTCATCATTGGCTAAAGCTGCAGCCTCCTAGTCTAGGTGGCACTGGGCACACTGGCCACTTACTCCTGGCCTCAGCGGGGCTCAGGGGCCAAGTAGAGACTGGCTTGCTTCTCCCAGCTCTGCCTGGGGGACAGGGATGCAGAGAGTGCGTCTCCTGCCACTTCCTAGTCCTACCAGGGAGGAAAGCATGCCAGGGAGCGTGCTGCCTACCCTTGTGCTAATTGCTGGCTGCCGGGAGGGCCTGGGATTTCATGGGCCATGAAGCATCCCAGCAGTCATCACTCCAGTGAGTGTGTGGCTGGCCCGGGTCTCTGCTACACACCTACTAAGTAGAGTTGGATGTGGAAAAAATCTCAAAGCAGTGTTCAAAGACTGTACCCTCACAAAATCACAATGCCTGTCCTTTCCTGGGAAGTCTTTTGACCTAGGGTGGAGTCACCCTAGTCCCTCACTTATGCCTCCTATCTGTTTATCCTTCCAATCCCACAATGCAAATTTTCATATATACCTGTTTGGTAACAGGTTTATTCCTCTAACTAGTAGTTGCATAGTTATTTTTTTCAGCTCTGCTGAAATGCTTAATAAAGTAGTCCTTCCTTTTTTTATTTTTTTTTTATTGATGATCTTGCTCAGCTTGTGTATGACAGCCTATTGAATTCAGCGCAGAGCTGTCTTGCAAACGTGTGTTTGTTGTGCCAGCAGAGGGCTGGTTTGGGTGCTTTGGCTGGGTCAGAGTGACTTTTGAGGGAGGGAGAGTCAGCGCTTCCTTAGAGGTTATTAAGCATCCAGTCCATCAGTCCACAGCGAGTTACATTTCCCACAGCGGCATCAAACTGTTGTTTTTCTAAGTACCTCATCACTTCCTGGAGAATATCCCCCACGCTGTAGCCCTTCTTGGTCACTTTTTCGGCTAGCAAAGGAAGTTTCTTCAGATCCTCCTCATTTCCATGCATAAATGACAGATTTGGCACATTGTACTGGGAAGCAACCACCCACTGGAGGATGGCCTGAAGCTCTTTGTTTTGTGAGTTGTTGTTGGCATTCTGGTTGGTCACTATCACTTGAGAACTCGAGGATGAACCTGTAAGTGGGTTATCGTTCTGTTGTGGTAGTGAAGCTATCGTGGGTGTTGCTTGAGCTTTTGCAGATGAGGCATCAAATGCATTGGGTTCCTCTGATGAGTCACCTATAGCTGAGTCAGTGCCACTTCCTTTGACCATGAAGAGACACAACTTCATCGCAGTTTCCACCAGTTGGTCAATAAATTGCTTGTTGACCTGATCCATATTGCCAAACTGCTCCATGGCTGAATTAGGCTGATTGGCTATGGCCTGTTTGCCAGGCTCCCATTCGCTGGCAGAGGTATGCTTTAAGCTCTTGTTTGTTTCGCTGGAGCTGTCTTCACTATTGAACCCAGCTTCGTGCAAGACCTTCTGTATGATGGACAAGAGGATACTTGATATGTCTCCCATCTGAGAGTTAAGCTGCTGTTGGTTCCTTGTCCCCGCTGGCCTCGACCCAGAAGCCTCTGCAAGGGACTTGGAACTCTGGCTGTTCCCAGCTTTTTCGAAAAGTGCATTGCGGGAAACATGCCCAAATGAAGCGGCACCTGATTCACTACACTCTTTGCCTGTTGGTTTGCTTGTCTGTTGTAATAGGTGCTGTTGTATCAGTGTTAAGGAAGTCAAAATGAGGTCTTTTGCTAGGGATTCTGTTGAGTTGCTGGCTGTTCCTGGATTTTTTCCTTGACTCCCTTTTGCCTTAAGTATGTGCTCGCTTACTTTCTCAGCACAGGTCTGCATCATTGGATTAGCTTGTATCTTATCTTTCCCGTGGGTTTGACTTTTCATTGCTGCAAACTGCATGCTTTGAGAATTTGAGTCTGGGAACCCTGCTTTCAGTATGGTATATGCTAGACTTTGAGACCTGGATTTATCTGGCTCTGATAAAAGGACATTATAAAGCCTTCTTACCATAGCTTCCAAAATTTCAGTCGACTTCTGGCTTCCCATATTGAATAGATTTTTCTTCACTGTGGCAACAAAGCCAGAGTCTGTCATGAGCTCACCTGTGACACTATGCAGATTTTTCATTGCTGAGTCTATCAAGTCTGAGAGAACTTCTCTGGTGTGTTTGAGAACTACTTTCTTCAAAACCAGGCAGGCTGGTGCGTGCTTGTTGCCCGTCTTTTCAACTTTCATGGTCTTCAAGAATGAGAACACCATGTCTGAAGCAACCTTGTTTGCATAAACCATTAGCCCTTTGCTGACAGAAGTACCGGAATCATCTTGCCTGGAGTATTTGTTCTGCTGACACAGTTGCGTATTTGAAGATGTTTCTCCTTCATTGCAGCCTTTTTGACTGGACAGCTCACCATAGAAAAGTGATGTTTTCTTGGCACCTGGGTTATCTTCTTTTTTGGGAGCCTTCTCTTGAGGTGCCTTGGGGGGTGGTAGCTTACCGTGGGGGGTTGGTGTAGTTGCCTGAGGGGATTCATTCACCATCTCTGCAGGATTGTTCCCAGAAGAGTGGGGATTACTGTTTTTCACTTCACCAGAAGAGTTATGAATTGCCTGTTGCGGATGCTTAGAGGCTGTGTCTTCTATTTTATCTGTAATCTCTTTACGTGCCAAGTGAATAACTAGTGAGCACAGTTTATTTATGTAGCATGAAATATCATCTGGATATCTGTTTCCTTTTTGAGAACCGGCAAACTGCAGAGATGTGTCACTGTCCTGAGCCATCTTCTTAGGCAGTGATGGATTAATGGAAGTGTTGCTACCTGTGTGCTTCTGAGGGTTATCTGATGGGGTCAGTGCATGTTGGAATCCAGCTGCATATTTCTGAAGGTCATTGTTGAGCCAGCTTACAACACTAAGTTCATCAGTTGAACCTTGCTTAAAGAGACAAACTGTTCCTTGAGTCTTAGAATGATCGTGGTTCAAATTGTCCTTTACTACAATGACCTCCTTTTCCTCCAGATCAATTTCATTTGAGTGGGCAGAGATGTTGCTGAACTGGCTTGCAGTTTTCTTTGCCTTTGGATCATTGTCTTTCACATTCAAGCTGGAGACATCAACAAAACAGATCACTTTATGGTCCTGGTCCTTCTGTCCTTCTGGGTTGAAAAGGTCTACTTTACACATGCCTGCCTGGCTGTTTAGCCAGTCAGCTGCCTGAGACATTTTTGTAGATTGACTATGGAACTGTCTCTGGCGTTCGTATGTGAATTGATCTGCTGTGATGACCCAGCCAAGCTTGATCTTGATTTCTCTTTCAACCTCCCATGCTCTTCTGCTGTCCAGTGTGATCTTTACTTTTGTTAACAGATGGTTTCTCTAGCAGTGGTGACATCACAAAGACAGGTTTTACCAACACCAATGGTTTGTTTCCAACAGT